TTTATTTATTTGACAGAGAGAGACACAGCGAGAGAGGGAACACAAGCAGGGGGAGCGGGAGAGGGAGAAGCAGGCTTCCCGCGGAGCAAGGAGCCCGATGCAGGGCTCGATCCCAGGACCCTGGGATCATGGCCTGAGCTGAAGGGAGACGCTTAACGACTGAGCCACCCAGGCACCCCGTGCTTCCATCTTTCTTAAAAACACTTCTCTTGATGCCATCACCTCCCAAAGTTATCACCTCAAACCTCCCTTTCCTTTGAATACCGCTGGCTCAGTTAGAAGAGCATGTGACTCTTGATCTTGGGGTGGTGAGTTTGAGCCCTCCATTGGGTGTAGAGATGACTTAAAAATAAGTAAATCAATGGGGGAGTGTGGAGGATCTTGTGGGGTGACAATAAAGTGCTTTCAGTTGGCCAGGCTGCCTGGGTCAACCCAGGAGGTGAGGTTGAGAGGCGGGTCCATCTTCCTACCTAGGACCTGTCAATGGCTCACTAGGGAACAAAATGAAAACTTCTCAGCCCGGGAGTCAAAATTTTCTTTAGTTCGGCTACAACTTACCTTTTCAGCTTCATCTCCCATTTCTCTGCTCACACAGTCGACGCTTTAACCAAACCAGAGTATAACTGTTTTCCTAACCTCGCTTCCTCATATTTGTATCTTTCGTGACATCTCTCTGTTTCTGCTATATCCTCGTCCCTAATTTCTACCTTTTGAAATCTGATCTGTCCTTTATGGATCAGTTACAGTTCAAATGCAGCCTTTCCCGATCTTCCCATTTGGGAGTGATCTCAACAGCTCCTACAGCATCTGCTGGTAACTCGCACTCAGAACAGCAGTATCGGCACGATCTCGTGTCACTCCTCGAAACACGCCCCCCTTCGTTTTCAAGTGCCAATTCACCCGATTTTCCTCCTACCTCTCAAGCTGCCCTTTCAAAGGTCCTTGCCAAGCGTAGCCTGCTATACTTGGCTGTTTTGAATACCGAAATGCCTCAGTGCTGGACCCTCTTCTTTCCTCACGCCCTTGCCTTGGCCATCTCAGCTTTGGTTCCAGTTACCATGAAATTCCAATCGCCTCTAACTTCTCTGAGCTCCAGGGCCCACCTAGTATCTTCACCTGGATGCTCAGAGGCAACTCAGCTGGGGACATATCTGTGCCAAGCTTGGCCCTCTTCCTGTGGTCTCTCTCTCAAGTGGATGGCACCCCACCGGTTCCACAAGCCAGAAACCTGGGACTCCTCTCTCGAAACCGAGGCCCGAATATTTTGCCTTTTACGCGTGCTTCCGGCCTGTCATTTCTCTCCATGTCCACCACCGCCACTGTCTTATCTCCCACCATGCTCTGCCTGGACTGCAGCAGGAGCTTCCTACTCAACTTCTGCACCCACTCTTGCTGCCTGCCCTCTGGTCTGTTCTCCACACTGCAAATGGAATGGTCTGTTCAAAATGCAAGTATGGTTTTGACATCTCTTTGCCTAAAGCCCATCAGCCGCTTTCCATTGTCTGCATGGATCTGCTCCTGCCTCTCTGTCCAGATTCATCTTATTTTTAAAAAATATTTAATTATTTTATTTATTTGAATAAATAATATTCAAATATTCATGCGCATCCGGGGGCGGGGGTGTGTGGAGGGAAAAGAAGAGGGGAAGAATCCCAAGCAGATTGCGCTGAGCACAGAGCCCCATGTGGGGCTCGACCCCACGACCCCAAGATCACGACCTGAGCTGAAACCAAGAGTCAGATGCTCAACAGACTGAGCCACCCAGGCACCCCCAGACTCATCTTGAACCACTGTCTGGGCTCTGGCTGTACTGGCCTTTCAATTCCTTTAATGGCCCCCAGGGCCTTTGCACATGCAACTCCTGCTACTGAGAATGAGCTTTCCCTCCCTAGTTGTTGCTCAGTTAACACCCCCTGACACTCTGTACCTTAGCTCAGCTCTCAGTTTATCAAGGAAGCATTCCTATAACTGTCCTCCCATGCTCTCAGAGCATTTTGTTATTGCGCTCCCTCTAGACATACAGTTGGCCTTTGAACGATGTGGGGGTTTAGGGTAATGACCCCCCACACAGTTGAAAATCCACGAGTAATTTTCGACTCTCCCTAAACTTAATAGCCTACTCTTGACCAGAAGCAGGACCAACAACATAAACGGTCGGCGAACACATATTTTGGGTATGTATTACATTCTATATTCTCACAATAAAGTAGCTAGAGAAAAGGAAATGTTAAGGAACTCCTAAAACACATTTACAGTACTGACCATATTTATGGGGGAAAAAAATCCACATATAAGTGGACCCCCGCGGCTCAAACCCGTGTCCTTCAAGGGTCAACTGGAGTTATAAATTTGTTCTTGTGATTATCTGATTACCCTACTTGTTTCCCTGACTAGCCTCCAGAAGGGTGGGTCTGTTTCTGCTCTCCACTGTGCTCCCAGTGCCCGACAGAACAGGCCTCTGATGACACATGATGCGTGCATGCAACTTTTGAGGGTGAGGAACAGAATGTCTTCATCTTTGAAAATTTTAGTGCTCACATAATGAATGGATGCACAAAATGTGTGTATAACTAAGAATGCAGTGTAAAAAGAGAAATCATTCATTCACCCCGAAATGCTGACAGGCCTACCTACTGTACCTTCAGGAACGCATTAGAGACTCAGGACAACCACGGTGGGCAAGATGAACTCACTTGAGACAACAGTACAGAACACGCCTCAGCTCTGTGCCCTCAGCTTAGATTTCTGCTATGCTGTCCTCCCCCTTGGCCATTCCAAGCCTTTGTTCCTTTTTACCTTGGCAGGGCCACCCCTACACCCCAAGCAAATTTGGTCCATCTGTATAAATCCTAACTCCCGCCCCTCAATGCGTATCATTCTAGTGGCCTAATCTCACGAATCCTTACAATGCTCTGCTGACCAGTGACCAGCCAACCAAGCTGCCTTCTAGAACTGGGGCCTGGCCACAGGATGCTGGGAAGACCTCTCGGGCGGGAGTACCAGAGCCTCTGGGGCATCTGGTCAAGGCCATGTGCAGGTGGGGGAGTTGAGGGCTGGGGTACACCTGGGAGAGTCGCCCTGCCGGGTGGCACAGCTACCCCAGGCCAGACCCGGGTCCTGGAAAGCACTTCAAAGCTCAAGGCAGTCCTCTGCCTGGCTTTCTGGACCCCTCAGCTTCACACTTGAGCCCTGGAGTGATCTGTAAGAGACCTGTGACCAGGGTGCCTGGGGGGCTCAGTCGGTTAAGCGTTTGACTTCAGCTCAGGTTACAGTCTCAGGGTCCTGGGTTCAAGCCCTGCATCCAGCTCCCTGCTCAGCCAGGAGTCTGCTTCCTCTGCCTCTGCTCTTCCCCCTGCTTGTGCTGTCTCTCTCAAATAAAATCTTAAAAAAAGAGAGAGCTGTGACCAAGGTCTGTCCATTGTCTCATCAGTGGTTCTTCAGATGCAACAGGCTCACCCTTGCATTCTGCTGCAGGGAGCAGAAAACCCCAGCTGTAGGCAAGCATTCCCCATTTCTGTGTTTATCCAGATCATCTTCCCACTGGGCAGTCCTCCCCTTACTTGATGAGTCATTTGGGTAATTCTCCCACTTATCATCCTTGGGCCTTCCCCACCCACCTCCCTCCCTCAGATGTCCCCTTGGCTTCACGCACCAGCAGTGCGAGATTGCAGATAATGCCGCTGGTGAAGTTTCCGTGCAACCAGCCCCGGCCGTTCATCAGCTCCCCCTGCAGATCCTGTGGTAGCTGGGACTGGCTTGTTCTGAATCCCCTTATGACTGGCATCTTCTGTCCCTGAGCAGCAGTTGTCCCATCCAGTTTTAAGGTGACAGGTTCCTTTTGCATCTTGATGGTGGAGAAAGTTGTATCCATAGCCCGAGACGCCAGATTTTATGCACAGACCTGGGCGTCAAGGTAAATGACAATACTGACCATTCTGGCATGTTCTGTTCGATCATTCCCAAGGACAGGAGAGGGTACAGGGGACGGAATGTGACTGAGGAGTGCAAACCAGGTTCTCTATAGCAGCTGTATTCCTTTTTTTTTTTTTTTTTAAAGATTTTATTTATTTGAGAGAGAGAGAGAGAGAGAACACGAGCAAGCACAAGAGGGGGCAGGGTCAAAGGGAGAAGCAGACTGCCCCTGAGCAGGGAGCCTGATGTGGGAATCGATCCCGGGACTCTGGGATCATGACCTGAGCTGAAGGCAGTCACTTAACCAACTGAGCCACCCAGGCGCCCCAGCAGCTGTATTCCTCACAAGTATTCCTATCTTTAAGATCTCCTCCCAGAAGTGCAGAGGTTAGGTGGGATTCGGTGAGCCCCAGGAGAGAAGTGTAGGCTTTTCACTGGAACCCTGACCCCAAAACTACGTTGGATGGTCAGTTAGCACCACCGTTCTCCATTGCCAGGTTGAAATATTTATTTGAAAAATTGAAAACACAGATGCAATGTATTATACAAAGAAAGGTCTTAATACCATAATAAAAGTATTGTTGGAAGGGAATAAGAGCCTGTCGCTACCTGCCCTGGGAAGGTAGGCACTCGGTGAAAAATGAAATCCATTTCTAAGAACTATTCTAATGGAAAACTGGGGGGGGGGGGGGGGAGGTTAAAAACAGAACAGAAGAAAAACAAACCCAACCTATCCCTGCGAACCTAAATGTGAGAGTTTGTTATAAGTTATCAGCAAGATTTATCGGAACCCCCTCGGTTTGTCCCTAGGAGTAGTAATCAGCTTCATTTAGGGCCTTCAAACTGAGGTAGTTGAGGGTCACCTGAAAGACATGTCTGGAAATGATCTACTCTCAGAATCGGACCCAATGGCATCTAACCCATGATTTCCCGTTGCTTTGGCTCCTGGGGGCGAGAGGCTGTGCCACCACTTTGGGTTGCTGATCCTGCATTTGGTCTGACCCTGGGAGACGGAGGGGCATCTGCGGTGAAGGCTGGTGGGCCCGCAGGGGTGGCTGTCTAGGCTACAGACAGCGTGGTCTCCGGGGGACCGAGGATGGCGGAGACAGGCCAGAGCCGGTCTGGCTGAAAGGCCAATGCCAGGATCGAAGGCTTTCATTGGCAGGAAGGATTTCCAGACACTTGCAAAGGTGGTAGAAGGTAGCAAGAACTTGACCGGTGGCTAAAGTGGAGCCGGGAGACCCCTCCAGACTAAGGAGCTGGCCGAGAAGTGAGCATTTCCCAGGTGCAAGCTCAGGACCAGCTCCTCTTCGGCGAGAGGCCGAAGCAAGCCAATCTGAGGATGAACGACATGCATTGTGACCCCCGTGGTACCTGGTTAACCCTGGTGTTGACTTGGCAACTCAAACACTTCCAACGTTAAGGACATTCTGGGCAATGTTTGGTTCTTCCAGCCACTGGATTAGGGACTTAGATTCAGGTGGGACCCTAGGGATCTTGCTGTCAGCGGCAGAACTAGGCAACAATCTAAATTACAGTCTAATTTAAACTCCTGACTCAGATATAAAAGAACCCCACAAAAGGCAGGTCTTTTCTACCTTTTTTTTTCCTTATTATGTACACATACCCCCTTACTCTAGAGATATTAGAGCAACTGTATAGAAAATTAAATAAGGGATACGGCTGTCTTTCAACCTCTCATCAGTCCTAAGCCATCTTTTGTTGTTCTGCCTTGCTGTGACCCAATTACACTGGCCCATGGGACTTCAGTCACTCAGGATGCTCAGTGACTACTTTAAAAGGCTATGAGGTTCATTTTTAGCCTTAGGATGTCATTCCTGTTTGAATCAAGTATTTCACACCAAGTATAAACACCCTTACTTGAGAAAAGCCAAGGTAGGACAATTTGATTTTGGCTAGAGGATGGGCCAGCTCCTAAGGCAAGAGAGGACAAATATTACGCTACCCCCGACGGATACTTCTTGTGTGACACGGGATTAGCTTGTGTTCCTGTTTAATCTCTTTCTTCACGGTCTTATCACTCAGGCGAAGTCCGCAAAGATTTTAAAAATTACTGTGGCTTCTTTTTAGAGGGAACGTTATTCAGAGAATCCCAGTGTGGTCCAATATACTAGATTTTTCTCACCACTGGTAATTCGGAGCACAACAGTTCGGCCGAGATTCTGGAAGTGAGGACTAGTCCGCTGTGGAAATGCTGACCCACTCTGAGACCACACCGGCTGGCTTAATTGGCACAACTGGGCCAGGGGTGCCACGCACCACTCCTTCTGAGCCCCGGATGGAAAAACGCTGAGCACAAAGAAGTGTTAAGCGTAAGACCGCTTATCTTCTGCGGCTGACCCCTCTTTAGCCCAACGTGATCGCCTGTCTGAGTCTTGGAATCTGAGCTAATGGGAGAGTGTTTTTTGAGTGCCCTACTTAGAAAATGCACAGAGAGGGAGGGGGGGGGGGAAGGAGGGCGGTTGATTCACAGTGATCAAACAGGGACCTCGCCACCTGTCACATAGCAACACTTAGCAATGCTCCTGTGGGACAGGTCCTGGGAAGTGCTTGTTGGCTTCTACCTAGGAGTTGCTACAGATAAGGAAGGAAGATACCGTTTGTCCAAGATCGGAAGGTCACTTAAATGCTGGGGTCTGTCCGTCTGGAGGTGGACAAGTGCTGTCAGGCTGCCCACCCCTAGGAAGCCGTTAATGTGCCCTCTGTCCTCATCCTGTCCAGGCAGCAAGGGCCCGGGACGTGTGGCTGGAAGGCTCAGAGCCAGTGGTCTCCCTTTCTCGGTTTCCCTGACCCAGGTGCTCTGAGGAACCTGCTTGCCTCGGGGTCTAGGCCAGTAACAGACTGGGAAGCATGTTGGCCTGGTGTCTGATTCCTGAAGACTCATGGCCTGGGGCAGCCATGCAGCCCCATCATCACCACACCTCAAATCCTGATTGCTCAAAGCGTCTTTCTGGAGGCTGCCGCCGCCGCTGAACAGAGGTTAGTAATAAATATTAAAGGTACCCAACCAAGCACAGGGTTCTTTCCTGCCAGGAGCAAATCTGCCTGATCTTCTGGGTCTGTCCCTTAGGTAGAACACGGAATTATCTTCTTCAGGTTCAAGAGGATGCCCAGGCGGCCAGTTGGAGAGAGGAGTTGGAAAAGCCCTCACGCGCTCCCTCTCAGGGTCCCACCTGGGCCTGAAGGGAGGTGGCACGGAAAATTCATTCTGGGGTAAGAAGGTGGCTACTCTCCCCAGCACACTCAAGCACATGATAAGGTTTTTCAGCCTGGGCACCAGAAGTTCCCAAGAAAGGGGTCTCCTGAGACCTGGGTTGTGTGCACCCCCCCTTTCCCGCATTCTTTACCCCTGGTCAGAGGCTTTCAGCTGGGCTCTCGCTTTAGGAAGGAAAGGCACTCGCTCTGCTTCTGCCCTTGGAGGAGAGTGGGGCCGAGCAGCGGTGCCCACCTCTGGAGAGTGGCCTCGGCTGCCCCAGACTCGCTCAGCGGGACACTCAGCATGGAGGCTGGTGTGGAGCACCAAGGAGAAGCCTGAGCAGCACCATTGCTGTTAACTGCTGTGGTTAGGGGCCCCCGATGGCTCAGAGCTCCAGGGGTGCTCCCTTTGGGAGAGTTGGCTCTATGAGGGAACACTGAAAGAAGAAAACAAAAACAAAAACAAAAACAAAAACCCAACCAACCACCATAAGAAGCAGTGGGAAATCCATGGAACTGCCAAGAGAGGGGAGAGTTGCCTCAGCGTGCTCGGCCAGGACGCTCCTGCTGTTCAGTTGGCACAGATTTAGGACGGCGTCCTGGCTTGGAGCCCCGCCAGCCCTCTGACGCTCACGAGTTGGTGCAGATGGTGAAACAGAAAAGGCTGAGGAGAAAACAGAAGAAAAGGCGTGAGGTGGCCCCTCACCAGGGCTCTTGGAAACAGCGAGCCCCTCGGACAAGGCCGCCGAGCATCTGGGGGTCTAATGGCAGGCAGGATGGGGAGGGAGGTCCTCTCCGCGAGGGGTGGCCCTGGTCCCCCCCTCCTCTGTGGAAGGCAGAGACTGGGGTCCCTGGCACTGGACAACGGGAGTGGTGTGGCTGCCACTGGGACTCCCCTGGGGCTTAGGCCGTGGCTGGCGAATAACACACACACAGACAGGCCACAAGATTTACACTCGGACGTGTGGGGTGTCGACGTGGCTCTATTCTTTTCCGGTGTCCGCTTCATGCAGTGCAGGTGGAGACGCTTCGGTTCCTGAAAGACAATGATAATTTTTGCTTCCTAGCACTACACGTGTGCACGCATTCCTTTCACCAACAAAAACGGCCACCATGTTGGGCTCTCCAATACCTCACGCTCATAACCATCTACTCCCTGAGTTACGTGCCCAGGAATGACTGGTATCCATCTGTGGTTGGCTCCCAGAGTCAGTCAAGACAATGAGAGTTTGCAGTCCTGGTCATGATCAAGTTGGCCGCTTTGGGCACGTGGGAAAGCAGCAGACTCTGGGTGATAACGCCTCTCTGGGCTGGTGGGCCCACCATCATCCCCTCACTGTAGCCCATTTCTAGCCCCTGACCCTTTCTCTCATGCGGCCATTGCTGCCCACTGCTGATTCTAGTCAGTCACTGAGGCTTGTAATCCCCTCGCCCCATCTGCAGGCTCTTCACTGACCGCCATCCATTCGTTCACTACTCAACTCTATGCACGCCAGGCTAACTGGGCCTGGAAGGGAATGGCTGCAAGGGAGTGACGAGCCCACTGGTCAACATTAAGGTCTTGAGAGGTGACAACAAAAGCTTTCAATTCACCCCAAATTATGCCAGTTTTGGGGCTTGAACATTATTTACAACTGAAACATGCTCTGTGAGTTGAGAGGGGGAAGTCAGGGACCCGAAGGGCGCCTCATTCTGTCACGTCTGAGGGGAAGGCCCTCCACGCACCCTCCCCTCTCGGTGCCCTGCTGGCCCTCAGAGAGGCCCACCTTCTTCCCAGCCCTCGGCAACACCAGCGAGCTCGTAGTGCTTTTTTCGAAGCTCTCCCAGCTTTTGACGCTCCTTCTGCAGGTCATTCTCCAGCTCCAGCACCCTGACCTGTGGGAAGAGTGGAATTTTCTTTTGAGCAGCAATCTGACAATGGTCTCACTTTGACTTAATCCCTCTCCTTCTCTGCTGATTTCCTCTATCCTCTCCTGTTTACCCGTCTATCCCAGTGGCTCTTCCGTTTCCTCACTGGGACCCTCTCCTGGAGGTGATGCTTTATAGCCCCAGTGGGTGTAGGGCTCATCTCATGCTCCTCTGAAATCTCTACCTGAAAGCAACTCTGATATCTAGCCTATATGTGTGGTGTGTTCCAATCCAGTTCCCCTTCTGCTTCAATCCCGCTTTCCTGGAAATCCAGGCAAGAGTCAGCTCAGATGATTCTCTCTGAGGGGCTGGTACAACTTAGGGTTATCATCATACAGGAAAAAGCACAATCCTACCAAGAAAACGGCTGGTTCCTGGTTACCCCTACTCCTCATTAATTCTAGTTATTTTACTAGTACTAATACTAGTTATTACTTTATTAATTCAAGAATTGTTTGCTGAGCACCCATCATGTACCCCGGGCTCTGCGGCAGGTGTTGGAGACGCGGTGGTGCAGAGACGGACAAGGTCCCTGCTTACCTTGCAGGGGGGGAAACACAAACTCACGAACAAGAACAGATCAGAACGTAACGAAAATGACACAGGGTCACGTGATAAAGGCCAAGCGTGATCAGCAAATGCTACTCAGGCAGGCGGGAGCTTGAGGTATCGGAAGAACAGAAAGGAGCCCCATGTGGCCGACGCATGAGTGGGGAGAGGGTCACGAGAGAATGGAGAAACAGGCCAGGGTCGTTTCATCCAGGGCCCCAGGGTTGGGGGCAGGAGTTTGGATATTAACTCTTAAGTGTGAAAGGGAAGCCACTCGAAGATTTCAAGCAGAGATGTGACGTGCTGTCATTTATGCTTTTAAAAATCTGTAGAACCTGAACAAACTCTATGGGGTGGGGCGAGAGTGGTTAGGCGGTTCCTTTTTTTTTTTTCTTTTCAAGTTTTTTATTGTGGAAAATGTAAAACCATACGGAAAGATGGAGACGATCTGGCGAACCCCATCATGGACCTTTCACCGAGTTCCACCAACTGTCAACCCAGGGCTGGACCTGTCTCAGCAACGTTCTTTCCTATTCTCTGCCCCCAACTGCCCCACCACCCAGCCCCACCATGGGACCACTTGGAAACAAGTCCTCACATGCATTGCAGTTAAGCTGCCTTTGCAGTAGTTCAGGAGAGAAACGATGGTAGCTCAGGCGGGGTTAGGAAGATGGAAAAGAGGGGGAAGGTTCAGGCTTGGAGAGTTGGAGTTGACAGGACCCGCTGGGGGACTGGATGTAGAAGGGTGAGTGGGAAGGGAGGACCCAAGGATGACTCCTAAGTCTTAGCACCCAGGTGTGGGGGGTTCCAGTTACTGAGGCGGAGAAAACAAGAAGAGGGGCAGATCTGGGTGGGAGGGAAATCGGGAGCCCTGGTTTGGACCCATTAAGTTGGAGACGTATTTGGCATCAAGTGGAGAGATCAAGTAGGCAGTTGGACAAGCACAGAGCTCAAGGAGAAGATCGAGGCCGGGGGGAAGAATCTGGTGCTTATCAGCATATAGATGGAATCTGCAGTCAAACGGGACTGGATGAGCCCAGTAAGCAAGACAGTGTAGATGGCAGGGACTCGCACCTGATGTGATTTTTCCTAAAAGTGCCAAGTGACCCCCACAGAGACTTTCACATTCTCAATCTGGACTTTACCCCAAGACTGGGACCGGTAATTCTAGAACAAGGATGTCAGATCTTTTTTCAGGATCCCACTGATTCCTATTTCTCCACATGCCTTAACTTTACGAACTGGGAGAAATGGCATTGCCTTTGATGGGTTCTCAGTGAATCGATTTTTCTTTTTTAAACCAAGGTCATACACAAAGAATTCATATCAGAAGTTTTCAAAAAATTGCCAAAAACCAAAACCAAACAGAAACAGACTCATAAATACAGAGAATTGGGGGTGGCCAGAGGGGGAGGGGGTGGAGGAATGGGTGAAACAGGTGAAGGGGATGAAGAGGTACTTTACCAGATGAGTGAGTCATGGGGATGAAAAGTACAACATAGGGAATATAGTCAACAGTATTGTTACGACGTTGCATGGTGACAGACGGTGACTATACTTAACGTGGCGAGCACCGAGTCATATACAGAATTGTCAAACCACTGCATGTATGCCTGAAAGTAATGTAACATTGTGTGTCAACTCGACTTAAAAAAAAAATCATCCATCGTAAGACATCAAATACTAGTTGATGTCCGCTAGGAGATCCCTGATGGTAACGGTGAGGGGAACACCAGTCCGAGACCAGTGAGCCACAGTTAAGATTCTGAACTTAACCCATCGTCTGTCTCCACCTCCACTGTCCCTTCCAGTGTCATTTACATTCATGCCTGGGCTACCGGGTCCATCTGTGTGTGTTTCCTCCCCAAGTCTCTCCCCTACTGGCTTCTCTCCATGGGGATAATACTTGGGATCGATGTCACTGGCAACCGATGGAGCAGACGTGGAAGTGGGGATCCTACCTGGGAATCCATCTCCTGGCGTTTGATCTGGGTCAGTGTCATGCTGGAGAAGTCCATATTGTCTGCAAGGGCGGAGGGAAGGTCTTGTCAGGTGAGACCCTGGCCGACTCTCTCGCCTGAGAGGCAGGCGTATGATACCAGCACTCTGCTGAAATGCTCGCTAGTTCCCAAAACACATGTGAAAGTCACTGATGTATAGACGGGGAGGAAGTGCGCTGACAGGGTAACGAGGATTGGGCGCGCCCCTACCCCCCAGCCCAGAAGAGTCGTGTCTTTGAATCCAGAGCAATCGCTACATGAAAAATCGACCTTAAGGCCTGTTGCTATGGTGACAGAAACAGCATGTGTACGTGGTGTCCCCCCCTTACGAGGAAGTAAGCACGCACGTAGAAAAGATGAACGAGAGAGAACGTGGAAACGGAGTTGTGGGAAACTGGGGACATAGAGACTAGCTGGACAGGTTGGATATGGAAAGCAGTGCTTCGGGGCGGCTACCTGTCTCCTCAATCTGGGATTTGCCCGAGATGGTGGAGGCCACGACAGTGGCGGTGGCCTGGTTCACCCCCCGGGAGGCCTGCTGCAGCTGGGCCAGGTTTGGGCTGTCCTTGTCAGCTTTCACCTGCCAGGACCAAGCAGAGTCAGGTTCACACAGCATACGGCGGCAAGGACAGAGTCAAAGAAGTTGGTCCAATGGTTCCTAACAAACATACGGGATCACTAGGGGTCACTAGTCGACTTCTTACAAATTGCTTCCTATAAGGGGCGTGTGTTGTGGCTCAGTCGGTTGAGTGTCGGACTCTTGCTTTTGGCTCAGGTCATGATCTCAGGATCGTGAGATCGAGCCCCATGTCGGGCTCTGTGCTCAGTGGGGAGTCTGCTGAAGATTCTCTCTCTCCCTGTCCCTCTGCCCGTTTCCCACTGGGGCATGTGCACGCTCTCTCTCTTTCTCTCTCTCAAATAAATACGTAAAATTTTTTAAAAAAGATTTTATTTGTCAGAGAGAGAGACACACACACAAAAGCACGAGCAGGGGGAGTGGCGGGCAAAGGGAGAAGCAGGCTCCCCGCGGAGCAGGGAGCCCGATGTGGGGCTCGATCCCAGGATCCTGGGATCATGACCTGAGCCGAAGGCAGGCGCTTAACCTAAGGCTGAGCCACCCAGGCGTCCTAAATAAATCTTTAAAAAATGCTCTTATAGGGTCAACTCCTGGCGTATGTCTAATATGAAAAATTACTCCTGGCTTATTTGCTTGGTAGCCTCAGACTCTAGCTTTATCAGTTCTTGTGATAAACTGTTCTAGTTGCGGACACTAATTTGGGACAACAATAAATAAGGATGATAAGGACGCTCCCCAGAGTACTATAAAACTCACAGACAGATTTTGGTAACAAGCTTTGTATTACGATTAGTTGGGGGCAATGGTTCAAATTTGGAGACTTCAGGAACCTCAGAGCCGAGCCAGGGAACCAGCTCATGGCGCTGACATATTCCTTATTTGAGTGCTCCTTGAATGCCCGGATTGCTAATCAGAGGTCGGCATGGCTAGGACCCTCAAAGGCCACTTGTCACAAAAGCGCTGAGAGCCGAGAGGAGAGCCCGTGTGGCGAGCTGGGCGGAGGAAAGGCTCTCAGAGGAGGGGAGGAGGGGACCCTTGAGAGGCAGAATTTTAACTTGGGACCTCATCTACCTGGACCCTGGATAAATCATCTGTTCTTGGGGCAGGCTCCACCGTCCCAGTAGTCTCCAGCCTCGCCGGACCTTACAGTGCCCTGGGGAGTCTGGTGCAGGTCCTACCTTAGAGGCAGCCACAAGCTGGGCTGTGCTAGCAGCGATTTCGTGCGAACACACCATCAGTTCCTCAAATTTCCCTCTGCCTTGCACCACCAGATCGGCTGCATCCCTGGTAGTCAGAAAGGGACGAGACAAATTATGTCACGGACAGCTGCAACCCCTTATGATCCCGTCTCCAGAGAGCACAGCCGGCCCGGCCCATCCCTGTGCAGCCCCAGGAGATCCAGGCTCCCTTTCCAACTTTCAGTCCCGTTGACTTCCCTACCAACAGTTCATTTCCAAGGGGCAGACTGTTTGCCCTCGGTTGCTGTCTGGGATGGGTCGATGGAACTGGGGCTGGGGCTGAGGAGCCCTGGGAGTGACAGACACTTACACCATGACAGTGGCTCCCCAGCCCACGGCTTTGGAGGCCGAGATGAGTCCTTCCGTCCATCGGGAATTCTTGGCATAAAACTCTTTAGGCGATGCTGTGCCCTGAGGAAGTGAAAGGTAGTAACGACTAGCTTTTTCTCAAGGGCCTCCTATGCCCCAGTTGCTTTTATGTCTATTACTCCCATACGGACCTCACACCAACCCCAAGACGTAAGCATTATCACCCCATTTTACAGATGAGCAAACGAAGACTCAGAAAAGCAAAGATACTCTTCCCCAGTTCATGCAGGAGATAAGTGGAAGTAAATCCTAGACGTTTCTGACTCCAAAGCCCGTAGCATTTCTCTTATATCACATTTCCATGTTGTATATATAAGAATCTCTATCTATTCACGTGCACACAGGAACAACGTGATCCGAGAGGAGTCTAACCGCTCGCCACGATTTGCCAAAAGAGAAGAGTACTCAGTGAATAATTGAAGCAAATGATTTCTCCTTGGAATTTTAAAATGCCTTCATGCTTTGGAAGTATCTGATAGTCTTGGAAGCCACAGGTGCTCCTTGCTCGGTCCCTCTATCTTGGGGAGAGAAAACATCCCCTCTTGGACTGATAAAAAGCACCACCACTAAAGCAGATATGGCTGCCTTCTTTGAAGGATAGTGTTCAGGTCCGGAATCCCTCCCTGGGCCTCTGTCCCCTGAGCTACAGCTGCACACAGGGTGTGAGAAGGAAACACACAAGCAGAGGAGGGAGAAAGCCCAGTGAGCACGTCGACCAGAGACTGGGGCAGAGTCTGTGAATAACTGTCAGCAGACTCTGCCGCAGGAAGGAGACATGGCCGCACTCACTAGGAAAGGTCAGCAACCAGGCCGGCCCTTCTGATTTGGCCAATTTTTCAAAAGCTCTCCCTTCCACCTCTGAGGGTCCAGGCTTGCAATGCACACGGGGTTTCCAGAGCAGGTTCCAATGATGTTGCCTGGGTTAATGACCCTGCAGCTGGAGGCTGAGGCTGACTGCCCTCTGGGGACCTGGGAGCACCCCAGCTTCTTCCCGTGGGCATCTGCGCTAGGCCATGAGAAGCAGCTGCACCCTCAGATGCACACCCGGGACGAGATGGCAGCATCCGTGGATTTTGCTGAACGTGGACGAGTGTATTGAGTAGGTATAGCCTCTCGGTGAACTGGGAGTCTGTGAGTGACCTGTCCAGGGGTCCTCACCCATGCTTACCCGGCCACTCTCCACTATCTCTCTCTGGAGGTCCTTCGAGGCCACGATCAGGACCTGAATAGCTTGCATTAGGCTTGTACAGGAACCAAGGATCCTAGGAGGAAAAAAAAAAAGTTGGGGTCACAGAAGAGAGACCAAGAACAGTGAAGGAGTCTGTTCTCTTTTTCAGGCCTAAATACAGGCAAACCTGGGATGGGAAAGGCGGAGGAAATACACCTTCACGGAAAGGCACGTGAGTAGGGAGACTTGACTGGGGACAGTTATGTGATGATTCTCGGGGTTTCTCTTCCCCTAAAATGCAACGGCAATATTATCATCAAGAACACCATTGTCGACAACTACACAGACTCATCCGTTGCCCATGACTGCTACTGTTCTAATTAGTATAATCCACTGCAGGGGAGACTCATCTGATCACCTCGAGGTGGCCCCACACGGCTCGGACTGACCTTTCGTTCACCTCCAACTGGACTCCTGTGTCTCCAGCTCGGGATTTGCTGAGCATCTCCTGTTAAAAAGAAGCAGGGTTTCTCAATACGTGGTGGGTACTGAGCGCTCACTGGCATCCCGAGACGCTTTGTGTCCAACATCCTGTGGCAGCTGAGAAACCCAAATCCAGAAAGGGCCCATCCACGTCCTGGTGAGTCGGGAAAAGAATCCAGACTTCTGATCTCTTCAGTGGGAAGCAGCCCCAGCAGGCTGGCTCTACCATCTGTGAGTGTCCATCCCAGGCGGACGTGTGCACAGAATTCTGGGAGCTATGGCACCCTGCCAACGGGGGGCAGCAGATCCCAGGTCCCAGCAGCAGGTACTCGCCCCAAGGCAGGCAGCCTGAGTCTTCCACCAAAGGAGCGCTATGGGACCTTTCCAATGCCGCCCACTCAGCTTTTCTCTGGGACAATCATGTCTGCTGATTTCACGGGTGCCTGCCACTGAGAAAAATGTGCATTATCTCCTTTAACTCTTACAACACCCCTCCGAGGCAAGTACTATTACCACTGCCCCATCATGCAGAAACGGGACCTTAGTGAGGTTCGTGGAACGACCTATTCCAAGGGACACGACTAGCAAGTGGTCAGCCTGGAAGTATGACGCAGGATGAACCGACACCAAAGTAGGTGAGGGGCTACTCATTTTCTATCCTCAGGGATCCTGTGGAGTTTGGGTTTTGGTTGGGCTCATAAGGGGCCTCGGTAGCCTTCATGAACAAGTCAGAGACATCCAGTGGGCAATGTCACCACGGGGAAGCTGCAAGAGCCTCGCTTTAGGAGACGTGCCAGATGCTTCCATACCTCGATTCTGGCCGTAGCAGTTTTGATGGCAGCTGACGTGGCAGCCATCTCCTTGTCCACCAGGTCCCCCAGCTCCTCCTGTTTGATGTCCAGGCCTCTGGGCAGGAGCTCCTGGGAACAGCATCACAAAGGCTGCAATGACCCTTTGACCTCCTCCTCTCTGTTCTCCCGTGGCAGAAAGCAAGGGAGAAGGGCCCTGCCATGTAACACACTTCTGGAACCCACAGAGGGGCCTCCTGTGCAGGCCTCGTCTGGAACTCGCTACTGCATGAACCCCAGAACCTCACACTCCACCCCCCTCCTTCTAGAAAGCCATCCCTGCCTAAGCCCACAATGCCATTCAGTTGCAGCTGCTTGGACCCTGACCTCACAGTTGCACGGTACAGTGTATTTGTGGCTTGGGAGGTATTTTATTTTAAGATTCATTTATTTGAGAGAGACAAAGACAAAGAGACAAAGAGCAAAAGTGGGAAGGGCAGCGGGAGAGGGAGAGAGAATCTCAAGCAGACTCCACGGCTGGGCACGAGCCTGATGTGGGGCTCGATCTCATGACCCTGAGATCACGACCTGAGCCGAAACCAAGAGTCGGACGCTCCACCGACTGTGCCACCCAGGTGCCAGTTGGGAGGTATTTTAAAAACATCTTCAAATATCGGTGATGCCTTCCAACCAGACACTCTGCCTCTTATTGGACTTTGCGTCCACAGCAATCATATGAGGCAGTTACTAGTCCTGTTCTACACATGGGAAGCCAAGGCTCCGAGAGGTCAAATGTCTTGACCCCAGTCCCACTGCTAATGAATGGCAGAGAGCAGGGATTTGAACTTGGGGCTGATGGCAAAGCCTGTGAATTGTGAAAATATTATGTGTTACACCTACGAGAGTACAAAACAGATATGAATGGTTTAAAGAATAAGAACAATGGCCCACGTATCTACCACCCAACTTAAGGACTAGCTTAAGGAACGTTATCAGTACCTTTGAAATCTCCTTTGTATTCTGCCCTAACTCCATCTCCACCCTCCCTGCTTCCCACCTCAAGATAAACACAGAATTCAGGAGAATGCTTACTTTTTTTTAAAACTCCCTATGAAGGCATCCTTAAACAGTATAATGTGAAGTACATATGTTTTGATCTTTATTTATTTCCTTTAAAGACTTTATTTATTTAATAGAGAGTCTTAAGCAGACTCCACACTGAGTGCGGAACCTGACTTGGGGCTTGAACTCATGACCCTGAGGTCATGACCTGAGCTGAAACCAAGAGTCAGATGCTAATTGACCCACTGAGCCACCCAGGAGCCCCTGGTTTGATTTTTATTTAAAAGGAATCCTACTCTATGCATTTTCCTATGACTTGCTTGTTCACTCAGCAGTCCGTGTGTCCTATAATGTGGTAATTCTATCCCCAGGCAAACACCCTAGAGAAACTCTTAAATCAGGAGATATGTACCAGAGTGACCAAATACACATTCGTGACAGCCCCAAACTGGAAAGAACCCAAACATCCATCAACAATAGATATATAGCTATATAACAGATATGTAAATAAATATAAACAGATACATAATAGATGTATAACTTGAGCTATAGTCACATGACGGACTGCTACAGAGCAGTGAAAATGAACATATCTGCATGGATGAACCTCACATACAGAATGCTGGAAAAAGCACGGTGTAGAAGAAAGTCTGTAACACACAGAACTAAAAATGTTACTTAGGGAAAAAGGACATAGTTTTTCTATTATCTTCATTTGGAACCCTGATTAAACATTCTACATATAACTTCTACACTCCAGCTTCTAAAATCTGTGCCACATTCTATGGTAATTCCTTCAGTTCTATCATCCAATTCACTAATTCTTTCTTCAGCTTTGTTTTAACCTGCTGTTGGATCTCTATGCTAAGTTATGACTTTCAGTGATTATATTTTTCATTTCTAGAAGTTTGGTGGTGGTTTTTCAAATATATCTGGTTACTTTTGAAAGTATCTTATTCCCTTGCCACACTTTTTAATATCCTTTAAAAAGTTCTTTAACATATCGGACACATTTATGATGAATGTATGGGCCTTGGGACTTTATCTGTGAAAGTTCCTTGGGGTTTAGAGTCAAAGTATACCTCTTCAGAGACCATTTGGATCTGCCTCTGCCGGGTACCTGGGCCCCTGATGACCTGATTACTTTAATTTTCTGTTTGGGTTTTTTTTCAGGCCACACAGGTAGTAGATTTGGACCCTGAAGCCACAGATACGTGGCTTGTAGTTAGAAATTCCCTAGGAGGCCGTGTTGCCTCCTTTTCCCCGCTACAACCAAGGTTGAGACCAGATCTCTCCAGTAGAGTAGGCTTTTCCCCCGTTCACTCGGGGTGTGATCTTTTGGAGTTCTGTTTTGGGGAGGAAGTCTCTGCATTCCAAACTTTGACCCTACTTGGGCCTAGGTTTTGTTTCTTACTCTCCCCTGTATGTGTGGCCCACTAAAATCCAAGCTCTAGGCCAAAAGATGAACAAACACTGGCTCCTGCATCCTTTTGGTTTCTGATTCTGAGAATTTCCTTAGTTTTCCGCCAGTTCAGATTCAAGTAACATTTTTCCCCCCAAACTTTATTTAGCATATTCCACGCCCTGTCCTAGGAAGAGTTCTAAACATCTGGTCAGTCCTACTGCCAGAAAGGAAACCTGCCCAGAATCTTCCTCTCACACCTTGCTTTTTAAAATTAATTTGATTCTTGGGGCGCCTGGGTGGCTCAGTTGTTAAGAGTCTGCCTTCAGCTTGGGTCACGATCCCAGGGTCCTGGGATCGAGACCTGCATCGGGCTCCCTGCTCGGCGGAGAGCCAGTTTCTCCCTCTCCCACTCCCACTGCTTGTGTTCCCTCTCTTGCTGTATCTCTCTCTATCAAATAAATAAAATCTTAAAAAAAAATTAATTTGATTCCTACTTCCTCACCTAATGGTGTCCTACACATGTGCGTACTGAGAAGCAGTTCTGCATGGCCCTGGAGAAGGTGGTCTATCTCCAGCAAAAGGCAGACTGTGGTAAGGCTGCCTAGGCCGCCATCAGCAATTTAATAACACTAAAATACCACTGGGATCATGTCATTCTATTGAGAGAAAGGTCAGCAATTCACCATTATCCATAGCCTTCCTTCACCCAGACATTCACAATTCCCTACCTCGTCGCCCACTTCTCCCCAGTATGAACCTTCCTACCCATCTGATCTTTTTATCTGCTTTGCTTTCTCCATATGTATATTCCATTAAATAAACATTCACTGGGTGTTAGCCACCTGCCAGATACGCCAGGGACCAAGGGGATGACGTGAAGAAGGTGCAGGCTCTGTCTTTAAGGATCATGGGGGAAAGAGACAGGTAGGCAGGTACACTGCAGCGCTAGCCACCAACACCGCAAGGTGAAGGTGGTGGGTGGGAGGGACCCAGGAAGGTGAATAAGGGCCAGACTGTGACAGTCCTTGGGTATCACATTACATAGTTTGATTTTTGTTATCAAACGAGGAATCACAATCAGATCTCTGTTTTTGGAAGAGATTAGAGGAAAAGAGGCCAAGAGGCAGAAAAACTAATCAGAAGGCTGTTATAAGAGTTCAGATGAGGGATGACGAAAATCTGAACTCCGGCCCTGATCTCTTCATACCCTGGACTTACTATTATGACCCATTTTTGGAATCAAGTAAATGCCTTGTACTGAACTCTTAAAATAGAGCTGATTACCGCTCTCATCCCACTGTAGAGAAATGGGTGATTTCCTTATTTTCCTTTCCCATAGGGACCATGTCTTATTTGTCCCTGTACATCTAATACGTTCCCCACTATGTACAACGTACTCACTGCATCTTTATTAAATCAATAAATATGCTGTTATCGCCATGTTAGGTGTTAACCTGTTCAACCAGATACAAATCCCGGAAAACAGAGAAACTATGCTTATTCTTCTTTGATACTGCTTAGCACAGTGACGAACACACAGTAGGTTCTCAATGCACAGCCAACACATGAGATATAACGGGAAGGTCGTTCAGGGGGTCAGATTTTTCAGCGCCAACTCTCGCTTTCTTGAGTCAAATGGAAAGCGCAGAAAGAACGGGCTGAGGACATCACTGAGTCCCTGGCAGATCACCGGCACTCACCCCCAAGAACCTTTGTTATTGTCCCCTGTAGTAACACAGCTCCTACCTCGGTAATGGCAGAGATCCTGTTGAGGCAGCTCTTCACGGCCGTGCCGTCATTCTCCCGCGTTCCTTCCTCTTCCAGGAAAGCCAGGTAGAGGAGGGTTTCCTTGCCAAACTGCTTGCAGGCCTCAGTCAGTGCTGGAGATGCAGGACAACCAAGACTTTTGAAGGCCCTCTGCTCTCCCTGTTTTCCAGCCCAGGCCCCCAGCCCCGGTACTCACAGTCAGCAGGTTCCGGCGGGGCTCGAAGGCAGGTGGTGCTCACGTAAGCCATGGTGTCACTGGTCAAGTGGGCAAGGAGGGTGACCGAGTGGAGGAGCCCACTGATATCTGCCAGGAGTTTAAAGAGGGTTGCTCAGGGCTGTTGAGGGGTAGGTTTACCTCCCTACCTCCTTCCCTGCTTTGCAAGTTATATACACCCCTTTCTTGGTGCAGAGGAACCCATTGCTACTTCCATACGCAAGCATTTCTGAACCCCGTCCACCCGTCACTAAGCGACAGACCCTATCCTGCGCCTTTCTTACCTTCTGGGTGGGCCAGGTAGCGGCTCCAGCTTTTTTCCAGTTGCTCGAGGCAGCTGGAAACAGACTTGACCTTGGAGAGAAGGTGATCTGTGGTGGAGGGAGACAGGGCAAAGTCAGAGGCGGAGTTGTCAGATCCGCTTGCTCCCCGTGAGGGTAAGGCACGTGACGGATGTGCCTACCTCGTGAGTGGCCTCAGCCCTGCAGGAGCTGCCCTAAGATGGGAGGGCGGAGGAAAGAGGGTTCACTGCGCTCGTACAGGACTCTCTCACTGCAGCCTCAAAAGCTGTGCTTCTGGGCCCATCTGGTCCCTTAGCCAAGAGCCAGGGCAGCCACATCAGCGGCCTAGAGTGAGCCTCTCCCTTCCTCGGGACTGCCTGCCCAAATAAATCCAGGCCTTCCTGTTACGTCTTTCAAGGACCTCGGACTCTCATTAGTCTTGAGCCCAGACCCTTGGCTCCGTCAGGCTAATCTGGGCTCATGCTGTGCACACAACACAAAACAGCCATTCCCACTCTGTGCCTCTGGGCACAGGGCCGCAAAGATTGTCACATGGGAGTTAAAGTACGGGGGCCTCATGTCACTGCACAGGTGTGGCTCCTGGCTCCTCCACCAGTGGCTACGATCGCAGGCCATGCACACCTGCTTCCTCAAGTGAAAACAGAGGAACAGGACCACCTCATGGCACCACAGTGACGATTCACTGGGCCGAGGTGTGTGGAGCACTTAGAACGGCGATTGGCACGTGGTGCGCGCTCTGTAACGTCAGCTGTTTGTTATTTTACCCCCCGCTTCTTCCCCTCCAGTGGCTCCTGTCTGTCCTCTTCCTTCAAAGCCCAGCTCATAAAGTCTCTCCTCAGAATCCGCCCACGGCTGCCCCACTCTCTGGCATTCCCTCAGTAAACTGGGAACTCAGTGTGCTCCTTCCTCCTTACAGATGGGTTCCCTGCTGAGTAAGATAGAACAGCCTTTGCCGCAGATGTCACCAAATGGAGACATTTCTTTTTTTTTTTTTTCCCAAAGATTATTTTAGGGAGAGAGTGTGCACGTGTGCAAGCAGGGGGAGGGGCAGAGCAAGTGCGGAGAGAGAAACTCTCAAGCAGACTCCCCGCTGAGCACGGAGCCTGACATGGGGTTCGATCTCAGGACTCTGAGATCATGACCTGAGCCGAAATCAAGAGTCAGACGCTCAACCGACTGAGCCACCCAGGCGCCCCGTAGACATTACTATTTGATAATCAAAGTCAACTCTTGGTTGTTTCCTGCCATCTGCCTTGTCCTCAGTGGGCCCTCTGGTAGCTACACCCAGGACTTCACTGGTGCCCTGGGCCTGGATGCTCTGCCACCTGAGGCCCCTCCTCTCATCCACAGGGCTTCTCTGGCTCCGACCGCTGCCCCACCCGAGTGCCCTTAGGACTCTGGAACATGCAGAGTGGGCCTTGTTCATGCCTGGGACCACACGGGTATTCTCAATGTTCCTGCCCCCCGTGTGGGCCTGAAGCTCCCAAGCAACCTTCTCTTCATTCAGGCCATGTTCTTCTGTCCAGAGACACATTGGGCCGTCTGCTCCTCCTCCCCCTGGTGCTTGGACTCGAGCAGTGGTATCACACCTGGGGGCTTTAGAAAGTTCTACCACCTGAGGCCCTGGGCCGCAGAGCTTCTGGCTGAACTGATCTTAGGGTGGGGCCTGGGCATCGCCAGGTGACTCTGACTTGCAGCAGGTGGAGGACCCGTGAGCTCAGGTCACGCGGGATTCACCGTCACCACTGACCACTGAATTTGCACGTGCGGGCAGGCAAGGGGGGAGGGTACCTGCAGAGCTGGCACAGCTGATCAGAGTGGGCTCCTCGAGCTGCCGCAGGGCCTCCTGGACCACCTGCTCTGCGGCCTTCCTTGACTCTGCCAGCAGCATTTTCCGTTGGTCTTTGGCGACCTGGCACGCTGATTCCTAGAAGTGGTCCAGGGAGGTGAGGATCGGACACAGACCCCATCAGGAGCCTTCGAGCAGCATCCACCTTGACACAGTGGGGAGTCCTGGCATCTTAACTCAAGCTACTGCTAATGAGGTGGGCATCCGTTACTTGCCTTTGCGCTGGACAGTTCCCGCTGGGTGTGTTCGAGCTGTTCCTGAAGAGCGGATAATTCTTCCTCCCGACGAGCCACGGCATGCGCCAAGCTGCTCCGCTCCTTCTCAAGCTCGGCGATCTGGCCGGCCCACTTTGCCTCTGACTGCAATGTTGGCCGGGTTAAAGAGGGAGAATTAAACGGTCCACTTCCCAGGAGTCCAGACCCACCAGCAGGCCACAGGGAACAGGAGGCGCCACCTTCATTCCCCCAAGCACACACTGAGCACAGATGGGACCAGCTTGGTCAGCTGCTGCGTGGGGCTGGACGCCGGGTGACAGCAGTCCCAAAGCCAGAGAGGGAAAAATGCGGAAGGGAGGTGATGCTCACCTGGGCAGAAGTTTCCAGGCTGCCTTGGACAACCTGGAGTTCCTGTTTGCTGGTGGCAAGTTCTTGCTTCAAGCTCTCTAGTACTTCCGTCTGTTCTTGAGTCTGAAAGAGAAGAAAAACAGGAGCACTCTGATCTGGGTGGTGGTTGCAAGAGATAAACACATATAAAAACCCCCAAGCTATTGGGGCACCTGGCTGGCTCAGTCAGCATGCAACTCTTGATCTCGGGGTCACGAGTTCTAGCCCCATGTTGGCTGTGGAAATTATTTAAAAACAAAATCTTAAAAAAAAAAGTCCCCAAGTTATCAATGGGAGATTTGTGTACTCTCTTGTATGCAAGATTGGATGCATCCAACAAAAAGTGGGTGGGAGGAGGTGATAGCCCAGAGTGTTCCAGAAAGTTTTCTTCTGGTTAAGCAGGGAAAGCCGAAGGGAAAATTTTAGGGACATTTCCTAAATATCATGCTTCAGCTTATAGTACTGATAATAGAACTAAATCTTCTTTCTTATAAAGTGTTTTTTTATTTTTTAAAATTGAAGTATAACTGATACAGAACTGGATCTTTAATTCAGACATCCCAATACCTGGTATGATGCTGAATCTAACCATCTTGAAACAACTCTCTTTTTTTTCTTTCTTTCTTTTTTTTTTTTTTTTAAAGATTTTATTTATTTATTTGAGAGAGAGAGAATGAGAGAGCACATGAGAGGGGGGAGGGTCAGAGGGAGAAGC